CTTGTGTTGCGCAGGTGGTCTCGATGGGGGGGTTGACCTTGAGCTCTTCAAGGCAGACATGCAGCCAACCGGAGGCCGTCGACGGTCGGCCGGCAACCTTTGGCCGGCGAAGGAGGTTGCAACTAGCTCTGGTCGAGTTGACTTACAAACACACAACAGGTGCTGTGCTAGCTGCATTTGTAAAAAAAGAACTAGCAGTTCAGGAAAGTCGCAAGTTAACGTAGCTCGGCCGCGAGAGAGCTATGGACGTTTGTTTCGCCATGAATCCACATGACCTGGAAAGATATAGCTCAGTCGTCTTAGACGATAAAAAAGCGGCACAGTGAGACGTACGTACGAGACCTAGCTACTTTTTTTTTATGTACGAGACCTAGCTACTTTATGTAGGATTGTAGCCGGGTCAACGCGTATGTCTGGTCAAAGCTCTACATGTAGCTAGCTTAGGACGATGCGTAAAATGCAGTGCACGGTCACATGCAGCGAAGAAAATCAAACTAATAACGTATATCTTTATACGTGTGCATGCTCTTCTGTCTAGTCTAGTAGAAAATTAACGTAGCTATGTTGTCGGTCACCTTTGTGTCCCCCTACGCCACTTCACCTCCACTTCACTTCCGACTACCCCCGGCCATCCCGGCCCCAAAGTCCACCCTTCCATCTCCCATAAGAATCCCACAACTCCACCTAGCTCCCACACACACCCCATAGATAGATCATCATCTGATCCACCCACAGGTAGATCGAGCATACACTTGGCTCCATCCACAGCTAGCTAGCTCTCGCCGGCGATGGCGGCGAAGCGGCAGGCAGGCTGGTGCTTGCTGGCCGTCGTTCTGGTAGTGACGCTGGCGGTGGCGTCGGCGCAGCCCGGAGTGGGCGGGTCGGGAAGGAAAGGCAAGGTGAAGGTGCCGCCGGGCAAGTTCGAGACGGTGACGTTCGCCAAGAACAACAAGCGCAAGTACGAGGTGGCCTGCACCGACAACCGTGGCCCGCCCTGCGTCGTCTCCTGCCCCAAGACCTGCCCCAACAAGTGCCTCGCCTTCTGCGAGTACTGCATGACCTTCTGCAGTAAGTACTCCTACGCTCATTCTTCCTTTCGGTTCCAACTTCCAAATTCAAATCGTTCCAAGTCTTCATTTGTGTATATTTCATTTAACCCAAATCTATAGACAGAAGGAAGAACATGCTAATAATGTCTACCACATCAATAATAGACTATCGGATGAATCTAACGAAACTACGGCATATCATGCAGTGTGCGACATGTTCCCGGGCACGTCGTGCGGAGACCCACGCTTCACGGGCGGCGACGGCAACACCTTCTACTTCCACGGCAAGAAAGACCAGGACTTCTGCGTCGTCTCTGACAAGGACATCCACATCAACGCGCACTTCATTGGCAACCACAACCCCGATATGAAGCGTGACTTCACGTGGGTGCAGGCCCTCGGTGTCACCTTCGTCCACGGCGGCGCCGACCACCGCCTCTACGTAGGTGCCAAGAAGGTCGTCGAGTGGGACGAGGAGGAGGACCATGTTCAGATCACCCTCAACGGGGTGCCCGTGGAGGTGGAGGCCGGCAAGAATGCCCAATGGGTCTCTAGGGCCATGCCGGGGCTCTCCGTCACTCGCACTGACACGGTGAACACCGTCGTCGTGGAGCTCGATGGCGTGTTCAGCATCTCGGCCAACGCCGTGCCCATCACTGATGAGGACTCCCGGATCCACAACTATGGGAAGACCGAGAAGGACAGCCTCGTGCACCTTGACCTCGGGTTCAAGTTCCACACCCTTACTAATGGCGTGGACGGTGTGCTCGGCCAGACCTACCGCTCCGACTACATCAGCAAGGTCAACGTCACGGCCAAGATGCCCATCATGGGCGGCGCACCCAAGTACCTCTCGGCCAGCCTCTTCTCCACAGACTGCGCCGTCTCCCGGTTCCACCGTAACGGTGACGCGGCCATCGAGACGTTCGCCTCATAAACCATTGGTTCATGGATCCTACACGAGAAATAAACAAATATCAACCGGAAGGGAGTGCAATCATCTCCATCATGTTGTTGTGGAGTATATATGTGTGCATCTCACACGATTAAGGTTGTGAAATAAGTTTCAAGTCAATAATTGAAGCAAAGTGTATACCATGTTAGTAACATCACATTTTTTAAGAAAAGAAGCATCGTGCTTACATAGTACCTTCCTAGAGCCAAAAGCAATATCCGCTGAGCCTTGCCTTTTTTGTTTTGTTTTAAGACAACCTTGAGCCTTGCCGAGCTTGCACAATGTACCACTGATTGATAAGAGATTACATATGTGCACGGACGAAGCCGCCGCCTCCACCCCTCGAGGAAAGAACTTAGGGTTCCTCTGACCCCCATAGGTGCCGCCGCCGCTCGCCTCGTCTCTGGTAGCCCTAGGGCCATGGAGGTGAGGTGGACCCCAGCCCTTGCCGGCGGGAGAGATCTTGCTCCGTTTTTTGGTGTTTTCGTGAATTTGTTTAGGGTTTATGTCCTACTCAGCAAGATGAGGCAACGACTCCTTGATGGTGGAATAACATTTTCCCCACCCAGCCCCCGTTCCAGTGGTGCGCCTAACATCATTGGAGGGTGTGTTGAGGTGTATCTCCGCCATATTTCGTAGTATTCGATCTGTGCTGGTCTTCGATGGATCCACTTGGATCCAGTCTTTGTTCGTCTTTGTTCATGTGTCTACAGGTTGGATGCTTTTGATCTATACTCCCTCTGTAAACTAATATAAGAGCGTTTAGATCACTACTTTAGTATTCTAAACGCTCTTATATTAGTTTACGGAGGGAGTACTTCACTTCATCGATGCGAGTTGTTGTTCTGGTGTGCTGGTCCTGTGGGGCCTTAGCACGGCGACTTTCCGACTATCTACTACTATAAGTTTGGCCCGACTCCAATGAGGGAGGTGTGATGACGGCGGCGCGCCTTCGGCTCGCTTCAGTGTTTGTAGTCGTCGCTAGGTGGTCTACGGACATGGACGTATTTTTTTCTGTGTTCTTTGTACTGGAATGGCATGATAAATAGATCAGAAAGTTTTCTAGGAAAAAAAATGTACCACTGATCATAGTTGGGCTTGGGCCTGAATGTGGTAGTGTGAGACACCAGCCTAATCCAATGTGAAAATGAGTGGGCTTCGAGACCTTCCCCCAGTGCCTTGCCTGGCGCTCGCACACGGCTACATGGGTTGCGGCCCGATAGCCTCCTGTTACTTGCTCGCTCAGCAACATTGGAGTCTCATCTATAAAAAAGCAACACTGGAGCCACTAACGAGTGGATAAGGGCATCTCCAGCCAAAAATCGCCCCCCGGGGCGCACCGGCGCTAAACCACGCACTGGGGGTGTGATGCCCCCCAGTCGCGGCCCCTCATGGGTTTTTAAAATGTTTAAATTCGGCGCAAACACAACGTAAACACGGGCGAGTTCATTCAAATTTAAACATATTTTACAAAAAAAGAAAAAAAAACTACCACGGGCTACCCGCCGCCCGCCTCGCCGCCCGCCCACGCGGTTCTACATGCCGAGGAGGCTGTAGAACCGCGTGTAGTCACCGCCGTCGTCGTCATCGCCCCCGCCTACGCCTCCGCCGTCCCTGCTGCATCCCTCCCCCGGTTGGCGCGGCGGGTTGGACGGTCTGGGGGCGTCGTCGTCGTCGCTCTCAAGGACGACGACACCGTCCTCGTC